TCCCTCCCTCCCTCCCTCCCTCCCTCCCTCCCTCCCTCCCTTCCTTCCTTCTTCTTTCTTTCCCTTTCCCTCTTTTGTTTTATAATTTTTAATTCCATGCATTGGGCTGAAAAAATAGCCTCCCCCAGCCTGGTATCCTTTAGATATGATGGCACTGCCGTTGCAATAATTTCCAAACAGCCTGGGTAAAAACTGTACTAAGCAAATAAGATTTTTCCCACTAGGAGGATAAAAAATAATGTGCTGTTTTCTACCACATTTGTAAAAGTATTACAAGGAATACTTACAAAACAAACTCCTCATTCCAAGAGAGGTCCATGGGATAATTGGCAAAAGAGCTATAAAACTTCTGTAAAGGGTCATTGAGCTGAACTACACACATAGGGTTAACGATACCTGTAATGAGGGAAATAGAGAACAACTTAAATAAAACAAGAGTTTCTTATTTTGTGTGCAATTACATAAAGAAATGGTTTTTTTATGCATTTCACATTAGTGGGCTACTGAAAAGTAACCCATACAAGGTTACTTTTTGTTGTTCTTGGGAGATTTTAAATAAAGAATCTAAACATGTACCAATACATATGCATTGTAATATTTACTATCCATGTGAAGACCAAATAAAAGTAAACTGATGGAGATATCAAAAGTTTGAGATGTCTCTTATGCAAAAGATTGATTTATTCTACCATGGTCAGGGAAGTGCTTTGATGGATAAAACCTTAATGACAAGAAATGTGAACTGAAAAAATACAGCTCAATATTTTGGAATTATTTAAGGAGTCAAAGTCCCCATTAGCCAGTCATTTACATCTTCATTAAGAAAAATGTAGCCAAACTATAATTTAAACCAACCAAAAACCCCAGAAACTGTTAATAAGTATACTGTTCAAAAACTAATTCAATGAATACAGGGCCAAAGTTTAGAAAGCAGGAGGAAAACACAGTAAAGAATATACGAGCAATGCAGGTGGAAAAATTGTTTTCCTTAATGCTCATCTTCCCTGAATTTCCTGAAGGAAGTATGCAAGTGCAGGCTCGTAAAGGCTTACAAAACCTGATGGACAAGTTATCTACTCACCACTTTAAACACATACTGCATGAATTAGTACTTCATGTTATGACCACTCTGGATTTTTGACTGTCCAAATCATGTAAGCTGTGTTCAAGATAGCACTTGGCTAGCAGAACTGTCTCACCTATTGACACTCAGTATATTCTTTATGCTTATAATCCTATTTAAATCACAAAATCCCATTGAGAAATTTGCACACACAAAGATCCATAAGTGTTCATATGAATTACCAAGCCTCAATATATAATGATTAGAACAGAACAGCCAAGATGTTATTGTAGATCTGCACATCATACTAGCTGTCACATGCCAATTCTAATAAAAAAGATGGGGAGAAAGAATATGAAAAGATTATATCATACAAGAATAGATGGCCTTGAACCTTTTCCTTTCCCCCCTCCTGTAAACATTAAGAACTGGTTAAAAAGTTCTTCTTTTGCACTTGGATTGCAATGATGTTAAATTCTTCATAATAAGAATCCACAGCCAACTGATTTGAATGCAGATTACCTTGTTTTGAATAAAACGTTTGAAACAGTCCACTTTAGACTCAAAAGAATGATTTCATATTTGAGACAGAGGCATTTTGCACTTGAAACAGGGTGCTTTGCATTCAAAATATTTTGCACATTCTAATTCTCAATAAGGCTAGTAAAGTAACTGTGCTAAGTATAGAGATCTCTGGATGTGCATTCTCCACCACTTCTCCATGGAAACTGGGCCACACAATGCTGTAGAGCAGGGTTCCTCAACCTTGGCAACTTTAAGACAGCCTTGCTGGCTGGGGAATTCTGGAAGTTGAAGTCCACCCATCTTAAAGTTGCCAAGGTTGAGGAACCCTGCTGTAGAGGGCGAGCACTAAATCCTGAAACAATGGACCTCTGGGGATGAATTTGAACATCCCACAAAGGCCAATGGTTCCAGTATGGAACCATAAGAAAAAGAGGATATATGTCTGGTGCTGACCTGGAATAAAAAAAAAAAGACTTCCTTGTAAAAAATCTTGATACCAGAAAGAGGATAGGGAACAGAAATCAAAACCAGCTAAGAAAGTTATGCATTACTGATGAAAAGGTCTCCTTTTCTTTGTTTATAGCATATACTTTAATCTACTTATTGCAGTTAAGCCAGAATAAATGTTATACAATTCAGAAGGGTACAGAGAGAGCAAAATATAAATTATTATACCTGCAGTATTATGATTGGTGAGTGTTGCGTTGATGTTTTTCATGAGCAGTTTTAGTTCATGAGCCCTTGGGGGCTTAGGAGGACTAGTACCCTGAGGGATAGCCCCTGTATTCTGTACATTCTGTTAACAGGAAGCAAAAAATAAATAGAGCCATTAGGAATAAATGTGTAATAAATTTTGCTGCTTTCATACATTAAATGTTAACAGTCATTTTATATTAAGCATTATACAGGCATATGAATAACTTATGTAGACTCAGCCAAGGCATTAAATTATGAAAACCTTTCAACAGGAAGTATGAAGAAGAAGCCAAAGCAGCAGTGAGCAAAACCATTAAATTAAATAAAACTATACCTGAGCTCCTTTTATATCAGTAGATCTTGTACTCAGAATCACAACAGGAGATGTGCAACTGAGGAGATTCTGCAACACGCTTTTAAATGTTTCTGATACTGTGCATGTCCCAAGAGTCTGATCCTATAAAGAGAAGAATGGTGACATTGTTTGTAAACTCTTGAAGAAGCATATCTGAGAAAGTCTTGTGTTCACCATGCTGCTTGGCTCATTGATTCAAACCACAACATCATCTGCTCTGCAAGTTCTTCATTGCAAAATCACATTATCCTCTTCTTCAGTTCTAATAGAAGAATGCGCTTGGATTAAAACAAGTAATACATCTGGTAGACAGAGAAATGTATACAGGTGTGAGATCCCCTGGTGTATTGTGTTTAATTCATGCATAAAGCAATGGAGAAATGAGAATTGTGACATGGAACATATAAGCAGGCATAACAGAAAGTGATAATGCATTTCAGTGACAATACACCAAACATAATAGTACTGTATAAAAGTCAGACAGCAAAAAGTCAAAAAGCAAATGAATAAAGACTATAAATGGCAAATAAATAGTTAAAATCACAGTATCATGCTCTATCAACAATTATTTATTATAAACATTTTTCTTGCATTAAACCTATTTAATAGTATGATTGAACATCTCTTAGGAAAGACTACAAGTATTATAACTAAAATGGAATTTGAATATTGCCAATGCAATTCAACCTCTTAGAATTGCTTAAGAGTATCAACTAGCATGTCTATCGGAATAATCCAGTAGAAGTTCTATACTTGGAATTTATCAAAAGTTTTTAACAAAGCCTCTAACCAAAACCTTCTGAGCTAACTCTATCATATTTGCTTTTTGTGGTTTGAAGACAAGAAACAGGGAAAAACAATAAATGGCTAGTATCCTGCTTTTTTTTAAGAGACTGCTGCTTTTTAATGTATTCAGTAATAATCTAGAGGTAATGATGGACAACAAGGTGGGCAAGTTTGCAGCTGATATCTAGTTAAACACGTTAAAACAAAACAAAAAAAGTTATCTAAAAGGATCTCTCAAAAGTATGTGAATAAACATTAAACTGATGCATGTCTGAAATAATACTAAAACAATGCACATTGAGGCAAGCTTCCATCCCCACCTTTAAGCACTGGGAATGCCTTTAGGGCAAAAGTCGGGACTTAATTAGTTGAAATAAATATACCTACACTTTTTTTTATGTGTATGTATCTTTGAGTCAGTGTTGACTCCTGGCAATAGCCAGGATGAGTCCCTGCAGGACTAGGATGGACTAGAACTCACAGTCTCCCATATACATACATACTGATGGGAATTTAGCTGGTAGTGGTTAGCAGGATAGATTGTGGAGTATCAGTAGGACCTGTACTAAAATGAGAGCTCAGGGTATAGCATATTTGAAAAAGGTGAATTCTCTGAAAGAATTTTCATTAGGAAAAGGGGGGTGGGGTGGGAGAAGACAGTTATATAGCAATGTCTTGTTCAGTTCTGATTCCTGCCCCTGAGCAAGGAAATTGTAGAGCTGGAAAGTTGAAGAAAAGACCAACAAAGTCATCAAGAGTCTGTTCAATTTATATACAAAAAAAGGTAACAATAGGTGTTTTTTTTTCATTTAGAAAGTGTGTGGTATGGAGAAAGTAGATAAAGAAAAGCCTTCTCTGCTTTCAGAATCCAGAATTATCAAATGAATCTGAATTACGGGAAATTCATTATAGACAACAGGAAGAACTTCTTACAGCTTGGCTGAACCACTTTATCATTTTGCTCATCTTCTCAGGCTACATCAACAAAAGCATTCATATAATTAGATCAAAGAATGCTATGGATACATCCATAGGAATTGTATAAAACTGTATAAAGTTGCAAATATAAGGAACTTTATTTTCAAACTAATTTGCAAACTTGTGACAGCAGTTTCTGAGGATTCTACTAATTTCCTTGAAGCCAGATTTAATAGTCCATTTGCCACCTCTAAAAAGCTCTCCTAGATGACTATTCAAAAATACAACTAAGATAAAGAAATACAAATATTTCACCACTGTCATTGCCACAAAGAAGATATAGCAATATACCTGAAAATTGCTGAAAATTTATGGAAAGGAGGATGCCTAGGCTGGTGGTTTTTATCATATCATCTATGATCTATGTCATCAGCATCCTTGTTATTCTCTTGAAAACCTGCATAACCCTATAAAGCAGAGTTAACTGGACTTGACAATGTCACTGAGGATGCTGGGAAATGATTGTGTTTATAGTCTAGTTAATGTTGTCAATCAATAGGAAGACTGGGACTTCTATAAGAGCCATCAAATTTTGTACCCCATGGTATTTAACTTATATCTGAATATTGGGAGAGTAACTGAGATATTGAATGGTCACTAATATGTAGATATTTTTTTTTCTGCGCTCAGTCGTTACCGACTCTGCAGTGGTTACTCCCAACTGTATTTTTCCTTTCCATTCCATTTTTCATTCTAGAATGGTCACCAAGGCCTGGAACCATTATCTGGAGATGCAAATATCTTAATATGAATTAACAAATTGAAATGGAACCTATTCAAGAAATAGTAGCTCTTATTCAGAAATATGGGCTCAATTTATATCACTTCTCTTCAAGATGCTGGTTTGTGGTTCTCTTGATCTTGGGTATCCAAATTTCATCTGTATCTAGGAATATTTTTACCCATCTGATTCTCTGTATTAGTTATGCACATCTTTGCATAACTTTTATTTTTTGTCAGTTTGGCTAAGGTGACATATGCCTCACTTACATTGTACCTGGATTGCTCCAATGCATTTTATTTAGGATGGCCTTTGAAGAGTGCTTGGAAACTCTAACAGGTCCATGGTGTAGCAGCCTGATTGTTAACAGGGAACTCCTCCATGAGGGTCCCTTATTGAAGCAACTATACTTTATACCTGCATCTAATTCAAACTGCTAGTGATAATTTTTAAAATCTAGTATTCCTGAAAAACTGCTTTTTTCTTATGTCTGCCTATTACCTCTTTGAGGGCTTGGTATGCCCTTAACAGCCCAGTTAATACTCTCTAGAGCCTACTTTAAGGCATAAAATTAAATTTTCTTCTGCAGTTTTTAGTCTGTCTTTCTAAAACATATTTAGAATGTTGCATTATGCTTTCATGCTTAGTGTTCATCTTAGAAACTAAAGGGCTGATTTTGTTTAAAAATTCTTGCTATTAGTTGCCTAAGAGGAAAAGCACAGTAACTTTATTACATAAAATAAAATTCCATCACTACTGAGAATATGAAAGGAAAGAAGCAAAATATGGAATGGGAAGGACAAGAAACCTTTCAGCTCTACTGCTGCAGGAAACAAGACAACCACATAGGCCATGGATAACCTATAGCAAGGCTCTTCTTATGAGCTTATCACAGATATGGTAATGGGCAGTAAGGAACTGGCATTTTCTGTTGCAGTTCTCCAATTATATAATGCTGTGTTCACACAGACTTATCTGGAGATGTGCTTCAGCATTTTAGTGCATTCTGAAGTTTTTTATTCTTCCTGGAATTTTAAAAGACACATTACCTTCAGTGTCTAGTTTTTAAGCTGTTCTCTTTGTTTGTAAATTATGTTGTGCTTTTATTTCCATTTTTAACTAATAAAATAGATTAAAAACAAATATTTAAACCAGCACATTTTTTACTGGCTTTGAAACCCACTCTGGGTACACTGCCTCATTTTGGTAGCACAATTGCCAAAAAACAGCTGTACTAGTTCATACATTTTTAAAAAAAATATACAAATTATAGGCTGCCCAAATCCCAATGATTCTGGGTGACAGAGTTTAAGTTAGAACCATGTGAAAAATGTAGTCTAAGATTTGATACATTTAAAAAAAAATGGAAAACCAAAATGTTAGGAGTTGTATATGAAAAAAAAAAAGCCTGGCCTAGTCCACACGTGTGATAGGACCTCGCCTACATTGCACCATCACACCCATTGCAACTCACTTCCCCTTCCCTAATTAACTTGTCCTACTCATCCCCTTCTCCAGTTTGCTTACTCCTGATTTGCACTGACACAGATTCTATCTTGCTGCTCCCCGGTGAGACAGAGAAAAATATTGGGTAAATATTTCAACTCATAAGTATTATGGGCAACATCTATTATTGCAACTGGATTTTTGTTTCACAATGAAATTGTCATTCCCTCCCTTCTAGAAAACATTTCAGGGGAAGTAAAAAGTGACTGCAGGAAGAAGAGAGAATCCATTCTCTTGATAGGTATCATTAGGGGAAAGAGGCTTGGGGGTTTACTGGCTTCATGACATTAATTTTAAAGAATGCTCTGAGGAAATAGATTCAATTAATCCAGCAGTTTTTCAAAAGTCAGCTCAGAAAACAAGTAATGTACATTAACCAAAATTCATTGAAGTTACACTGGCTGGCAAGTCTCCGTATGACTTTAAAAGTGCTGATCCACACAGTTTACTAAGATTGAAATTATCTGTTGATGTTTAAACAATGTAACACTTCTTTGCTTTGGTTTTTTTAAACAAAGGTCAAAATCTTATGCAATATTTAGCTATGGATAATGAATATTTAATCAGAAAATTTAACTACAGAATATTATCCTCGAGCAAATAGAATACATTTCAGCATTATCAATCCCCATATAAATGCTATTCATTCAGTCTGGCATTGGGCCATCTGTATCCATCTATACTGGTCTTCCTCAAGTTGGTGCCCCCTCCAGCTATGAATTCAGGGAGTTGTAATCTCAGTGAATGTGGAGATGGCCACTGTGTTGAACAAGGTTGTTCTGATCCCTTTTTTATTCTTAAATGTTATACTGTAGCAAACGCCATAGGTCTTTCATGGCCCTATGTTGTTTTAATTGTTGAACATTCAGCAGGACATACAGTAGCTCTCTTGAATTCATGATTCATGACGGGTGCTCCTGATGCACAAAGCCTCTGAACCTTAAGAATGGATTTTTTTTTTAGAGGGAGCTTATTAAAACTTCCCTCTAGGAGCAGAGACCACCCGCAATATTTTGAATTCTGTCCAATAAACAGTTGGAGACAAAAAACAGCCTTTCTTGTTACAGCCCAAATAGCTTTCAAAATGCCTACATTTACAGGCAGCTGTTTATGTGGTGAAAATGCTAATCTCCAAGGAGATGATAGTAAAGTAGTACACCAGAGTTAGCTGTTGTTGTCTGTCTCTGTGGCAAATATTGAAAGGCTTTGTAGACCATTATTGCCATTGTTTTCAGAAGTATGGCATATAATTACTCTTGCAAAACTTACAGCAGTCTGTAATTGTAATCCTTTAAAAGGCTTCACAGCCACACTAGTGGATGCTAGAGACTGCAGCTCTGTATCTTGCTCCTAATTATATTTACTGAGAAGCCAGTCCTTTGGAATGTAGAATCAGGGTGCTAGTGGTTTAGAGGATAGGCAAATGTTTAGAAGGTATTGCAAATATGAATTTAAATTTGTCATTCTGATGTAGTTACATACAAGAAAATGGCAACATATTTACCTTTTGCACATTAGTAGGCTTGACTTCAATATTTGTTTCGGAGGAGTAAATGCAAGACCATTTGATCTGGATGTCTTCCTCTTTAGATTTTGCTGAAAGTTTCAGCTGTTGATGATAGTTTATTAAGGATTGTTATTTCTGTTTTGTAAATGTAAGCAGATGTTAATACAAGTTGTAGTTTTATACATGTTGCAGTTTATCTTGTGGTACAGGATCTTCCTTCCGTTAAATCTTTAAATTATCTTTGGGCTTCAATTCTTAGCAATCCCAGGCAGCATGGCAGTAGTAAACAATTATGCAAGTTGTAGTTAAAAAAATTTGAAGAACAACAGATTGATCATCCTAGTTGTATATATTCACCCTCTATAAGCAAAATGGAACCTAATTCAGGTGCACAAAATGGACAGTTCAGTGAACTACAACCACTTTCCATATTGGTTAGTCTTCAATTTTCATAACTGATCATACTGACTAGACTACCTTTGGCCACACTGACCAGAAATTCTGGGAATTGTGATCCTAGCATCTCTGGAGAATACTAGACTGGGAAAGCTACAAACTTCATTTATAATTGGTGTAGGATTTCATTTATAATTGGTGTAGGACAAACTGATCAGTTTATGGTTAGCATTTACATTTTAAATTTGCTACACCCTAATGCATAGCCATCATAAATTGTGTCATTCATGATTTATACTTAACTGAATATTTTATTGAGTACTACCAATTTTAAGTTCCTGTTTCTATCTTCAGTACTGATTAGGAATTCTAAATTAAAAAAGAGTTTCCCTTTCTAAGATTTTAAGTCCAAACACACAAAAGTTACAGACACCCACATATACTATAACTGCTTCACTCTTCTCTTCATGCAAGGAATAAAACAAACCAGAAGCTACAGTTAAACATATCCTCCTATTATATCCAAACTGGGAAACATGTGTCTAAATAAATCATAATATGAAATTGTGGTTTAAATTTGGCTTCTATATCCTGATTTGTTTAGAAGGCATTAAGTATATTTCCTTGTTTGGGTCAAACAGGAACTTACAATTAAATGCAGTTTCCTTAACTGCAAAACGGGATTATAAAGAGATTCCATGTAGGCCTTTCAATACAGTATCCAAACTGGACCATAATGTAGTAAACCCAGTGAACAATGTAAGGAAAGAAGAAATGGCTGACTTTATGGCTGGCAACAATATTGAACTTAAGGAATCCATTTACATAAAGGGTACAACTGACACTTATGATTCCATAAAGCACTGAAAGCCTTAGGTATAACCCCAAAAGACCTTCAAAGTTTGTTAAAAAAAATAGTAATTTTTAATAAAAAATAAGGGGAAAGTAATTAATAGATCACTAGTTTGCAAAAGTATCAACTATATTAATTCAACGTAAATGTAAAGAAAATTAGATCAAATTTAGTTTTCATCCAGACCATACTCACTATTTTTAAGGAGTGCCCCCCCACCCAACAAATCGCGTAAAGACTAGGTATGTCCTCTGCCAAAGGAAGTTGTGTTGACTTACAAGAATGTGCAATATAATCAAAGAAAGAAAGAAAGAAAGAAAGAAAGAAAGAAAGAAAGAAAGAAAGAAAGAAAGAAAGAAAGAAAGAAAGAGTATAAAATGCCAGACCTTACTGCAAGATTTGTTAATAAAAATTCAAAACGTTACCTGCAAATGAAGTGGAGATAGTTTTACACTGTAAGACTGACATTCTCCAACAAGAGGTGAAGTTTGGGATACACTGACAAGAAAATGGAAGGAATTTCCACTTACATTACAGGAAACCACCTAAAATAAAAATAAAATATAGCTTTTATCATCAGCTGTGTTTATAGAGAAAGCATCCTGAGCATTTATTTAAATGTTAAGTGACTGCCATTTGTTGAGATCAGAATTCACATCTTGGCAGTTGCATTGGTCCAAGATACAGAAAGATAGGTTGTTCCTTGCCTCTTAGGTGAATTAAGCTTGTATATAATCTTGTCCACTGGAAATAAAGCTCATTGATGTGATTCAGCTGCTGTTATTTTAAAGCCAAAATAAAATGAGCAAGCAGAAACCTGTAGTGAAATGTTGCAAGATCGCCTTTCAAGCTTTATGTTATCCAGAGCATTCTCACGACCCTTTGTAGATTCCACATCAGCATGGTATCTGAAGAAAGCACTTGCCTTTACAGCTGTATGCATAATATTTTCCACACAAATCAGAATGCTGCATTAGCAGGATCCTGTCTCATATGGAAGCCAATGCATGTATAACTGCATGTATTTTGGTATCTCAAGGAGACCAATATCATTTGAGTGATATTGGCAGAGACAGATTCAGTCTCAGGATTGAGTAACATCATAAAAAGACGGAACCATTCCCAGCCTTCAAAAGAAATTTTCCCACTGGGTTCTAAATAGTTTAAAACAGAAGCATTTCTGTCGTATGTGGAGCTCAGTGGCAGGTTAGTGAGCAGGGAACTATTATTTTCCCCACTCCTTACTTCTATAGACCCTATCTACATATTTAGCTCTTGGATAAATGACTGCCTTACTGCAATATTTCAGCTTTATTAAGAAAGAAGGTTGATTTTTTTCACCTTCCTCCTCCTAAAACTTTCCCCATGAGTTCAACCACATGCATACTCCCTCTGTTAGGGATACTTAATTATACTTAGTTAAGGAATACTTAAGTTTTAGCTTGAACTGCCCTTTTTCCCAACCCCAATATCTGTACATCACATTGCGACACTTCAGGCCCTTATATTACATACCTGGTTTTAGACCAAATTTATCAGATCAGGATATGTTTATCCTTCTCTTAAAAGATACAAATATTTTACTTGTTATTTAGGAATTTAAGGTTTAATTCAAGACTATCAAGCAATCAGAGAAAAATCCTGTCATCTTTATCAGCTTTGCTCCTGCTGAAGTGTACTTTAAGTCTTCTCAGATCAAAGGAAGCCTTTAGGCTTACCTGGGGGGATGGAAGAAAACCCTTTCCCACAACCTTTGAAAATGCTAATGATAGAGTTTACTGTAATATCATACTTCTGCTTCTCAGTCTTAAGATATCTTCTTTGAGAACAAGTTTGTCTACTGATTCACACTTGGTATCGCTTTAGTTTCAAATGTGGGTAAGTGTGACTCTCTGGCTTTTGACACAGAAACATTCATACTATTATTCAGGCAGCACTTTGTAAATATTTTGCTACTTCTTAAGTTGGTGTAACAAAGGGAAGTAGCCCATGAACAGGCATTTAAATAAGCAAAGGAATCAGTCCTGTGCTAATTTCATTACCAATTTCAGAACCAAATGCCTATTGTGCAGTTGAATAACCAATGCAATCAAACTTTCGTTTGAACTTACACAAGTAGTAGAGTGAGCAATTTTTAGAAAGAAACAAAGAAAAATTCTGCATACTTCTATGCAACATATCAGCTACTAAGAGTGATTTCTCTACTATGTATACAATAAAATATATACAGTAACACATATTATGTGAATGTCAATTGTAAAAAAAGAAAGGGATCAGTATCTTGGACCGCACATTAAATGAATGATCTATTGGGATCCTTATCAACATATAACAACATATTTCATGTGCAGTTAGAATTCACAAATTACATATAATATACCCTTTATTTGAATTCACAGTACATTTGAGATCTGCATATGTGGATCTGATCAAAGTAAATTGTAGGGGTGATACAGAAATATGATTTGCAACTTTTTTCTTTTTTAATTTTAATTCTAATTTGTTTCTCTTATCCTATTTTTAATATATGGTCTCATTAATGTCTTATGTTTTATATGTTTTATATTCTGTATCCTGATATGGTCTAATGGCTAATCAATAATAAACTGAAACTGAAACAATAAAATATATAGGAATCTCAGTTATCATACAAATTAAACATTTATTTGATTATATTGTTTGTTCTTACCAAGTTGCAAATTTAAGTTCTGTTATTATACATTTGTAAAACTGAAAATAAAACCTATTTCAATTAGGGTAACTCACAATGCTTTCCAAAATAACTTACTTAATTTTAAATGTAGTATGATGAATAGAGAACAAAACAGATTCACCACTCTGATGAAATGTCAGTGTCCTTGCTAACCACCATGATCTACTAGCAGTTCACAAGCTCATATTTATCACTGTAGTGCCCGGGGGGAGGGGAGGGGGCAGTCAAGTGTCATGATAGACAAATTTACAATATTCCCTTTTGGTCTGTTCTTCACATAAAAACTGCACACACACTCTCTCTTTTTTCTTTTTTGCTTAAGGCTGGAAACATATTTAGGTAACTACAAAGTAGGCAGCCTTCAAATGTTCCTTTGTCCTAATAATTAGGTACAAGATGTACAGCACCTATGGGAGCCTAAATTAAATAAAATCTGCAATTCTTTCTAAATGTCAGGACCAATGAAAGTTTTATTGCTCCCTCAATGCTGTCAATTTCTTTCTTCCTCTACATTCACATCTAACTGATGAGGGCATAATCCTGACAATTAGGTTGTCTGAATCAGTTTAATTTCTAAGGTGATCAAAATCTGGACCACCACTGGATGGCAGCAAAGAATTAGCATCTAATGGTTGTCCAGATTTTTGCAACTTATATGTGGTAGCCATATTTTAGCTCTCTAAATTGATTAACCTAGCTTATAAAGCTTAGAAAAAGAGTGTTATGAGGTGAAGACTGCCATACACTTAAACATTCTGAGGTTCAAAGATTGCAAAGAACAAGTTGGAGAAAAGAGCTAGAAATAGCTATAAAAATTTAGAGACTGAACATAACTGAAACCAGACTAAGTGCCTTAAAAACATACCTTTGTACACTAATCAGATAAAGGATTTTCTTGTTTTCCTTTATCCTCATAAACATTTTGGACTTTAATCAGAAAGAGTTAGTCTGCTGCAGTTAGAAAGTGATTTAAATCAAAACACAATTGCATGCTGTTGCCAGTTGATGTTCATGTAGGAATCAGCTATGTGGAAGCAAAACTGTAACTTCCCATAGATACCTAAGTAAAGATACTGATTATCTGACAAAGGAGTGACTGCTGATTGCCCTGCCAATTCCACTGTAAAAGCCATGTATCTTCACAACTGCAATTCACAAGTAATCAGTATCTTTGTTAACAGCCAGAAATCAAAACTTCATGTACAGTAATACTGAGCAACTTTTTGTGATACTTTTGGCTGGATGTTAAAGAAAGCAAAAGGAGGAAAATGGAAGGAAAAAAAGCTTCTTTGATCTTGAAACTTTACCCTGTGTGCTTAGTTACATTCTTAAAATGGAATGTGGGAAGGAATGGCAAGTTTGAATATATTATGATACCTAATAGGAAATACAGCTTTCAGGTTGAACTCAGAAGAAGTAGACAGTACACAATTGACTAAATCCAGATTTTTTTCCCAACCTTGGAACAATTCTAAAGTTTTCTTGGTAGGTTATAATAGAAGCACTAAAGAACTTGTCAGTTTTTATATTTGCTGGAAATTAATCTTCTGTTGTGTTAGGTAAACAGTCGAGATAGGCCAAATGAGAAGCTGAGTAATCAGACATAATGTTGTTTTCAAAATAAACTAAGTCTGCCTATCCCTCTCTAATTATTGAATCCTGCCCCATATTCCTAAATTCATGTTTCTTCTAAGTTTCTGATTATCAAGAAAAAAAACTGTTAACATATTTTAATGGTTTTAACATATTTTGTCTTATTTATAAAGACTCATATAGAGCTAGTTGGGTGTACCACTAAGGGCTTGAAATGCAGCAATAATTATTAACATTTTGATTTGTAGTCTGTGCTGATTTTTTTACAATTGATACTTTATTAACATAAACATATGATTAACAAAACTGAAATGTGCCCACTGCTAGATAGAAAATATGTATTTAATAATGTAATGAAAGCAATATGAACTTTATTCAAGGTGTGCCACAATGCAAGAAAAGCAAAAACATTTTACATAAAGAAGCTTACAAATACAAAGGCTTGTTTGCCAACTGATCTCACCCTACTCTTATTTACACAGGATTAAGTTGTACTTCTGTATTTACTCCATAAACTCCTTTACTCTGTTTATTCATAACTATACTTTCATTTTTTAGTATAATAATAATTTTGATGTCAGAAAGACTAAGTGGTCATCTCTGCTTTTTATGGGGCACTGGTATACCAATATGCTTCCAGTATTCTTGGCCTTTTATTTATTGTATAAGAAAACAGCAATCATTGTAGATAATTTCCAACAAGTCTGAAAAGCATTGTCTGCAAGCAGCTCCAAAACATACCATCAGTTAAATCATATATTTTGTTTAGATTGGATTCTGCCATGCAACCAAGTTTATTAGCACATTTACTAAAGAAAAGGTTTTTAATGTATCCATTTTATTATTTTGCCAATTCTATACAACTCTATTTTTCTATACACTATAACTATTCTATTAACTAAATCCCAATCCACTGAATCTACCCTAAATTAATACTTTACAACTAAGCATTAATTCCTAACACACACATACTTTTTTGTGTAAGGATTACTACACCACAGATAACAGTCCATATTTACCTAACAGAATTGAAGAGCAAACAACTAACAACATAAGTTCAAATGAGATTATGAAGGGCATACTCCAGTTTGAAATATTTTCCCTTTTTCCTGTACATGCTAATGACATTAATAAGAAGAGGAGGCATGAGAGCATGCATCAGCCCCCAGGGTAAGGAAATATTTAAGCAGCTGACCAGTTTTATACATGGTGCTCCACCTCATAAACTAAAGAACAGCCAAGAAAAGAAAAGCTCACCTTTTCTTCAGCAGATTTTACCAGACTTACTGCTCCTTGTACCATAAGTTCTTGATTCTGATGAGCTGAATCTTCATCAAATGTTAACAAGCAGGTGTTCTGGAAAAGGAGGGATAGAAAGAAAGAGAAAAAAAGTGACATACTCAAAGCTGTTATAAAGGCCTGAATGTTACTGAAATGGAAATAGTGAAACAGCCAAAGGCTGGAGAAGTCTATACCAGTGAAAGTTGTGCTTGTGCTTGAAATAATGTCTATTAACAAGATATATGGCAGTATGCGTTCTGTACTATCCCTCAATTTTCCTTGAACACAATGCTTGAGCTTTTGCCAAACTAAAACTATTTATACAATAGCAGAATATCATGCTATATAGATACATATACTGTAGTGCTGATGAGTAAAGAACCCAATCTTCAACTAAATGCTGCTTCATTATAAGTCCAGAGTTCTGCCATTTCAAAGTTTTGTTAATGTATTTAATTATGAGAGTCCCTGGTAACCACCTGCATGATGTTGCCAGCCTATTGCTTAGTGCAATCAGTTCAAAATCATTCTTATCATCAGTGAAGATTCACAGTGTTTTAAAAATGAGTTTGAAGTGTACACCCCTAATTCTTTATTGTATTACCTATAGTCATCCTATATTAAGGAATGTTATGAAAAAGCAACAGCACTGAATGGAATTAAATCTTGTGAACCAAAATAAGGTGGGGTAACCCAATAATTAAATGGATTGGTATGGACATATTCAATTCTTTACTGAGGCTGTTCGTTCTGTTCAGTTTCAAACTTCCATAGGAATAAAGAACTGGGAATTGTAGCTAACTACAACTTGTTTTGTGAAAAGGTTTCGTGAGAGCATAAACTCATTTGCATGTGCTCTCACAAAACCTTTTCTGCAGGCTGCTCGATGTCTAACTTCCTTCCAAAATTCCTCCATTTTTGCCATCAAGTTTATAAAAATCTTTCTGGGGCCTATAAAAAGCCAGCCCATCTGTGTGGCTGGTTTTCTTGATACAAATGCTACAGATTTGCCCACTATAATATCTTTAGCCATCTTCTGAAGAGCTCTCTCTTTGCCCAGGCCTTACTGATACAAATGTTTTTGGTGTTGGTGTTGGTGTTGTTTTCCTTTCCTTTGCTCTTCCCTCACCTCTTTAATGATTATATATTTCATTTTGTTTTAATTTATTTTTATATTATCATATTTAATATTTTATTGTAATCTGCTTTGAAATGTGACTGTACTATAAATGCTATAGAAATATATTAAATATAACATCATCCCAAGCATGAATGCAATAAGTTTCATCTCCAGATAACTCTAAGTCCTACACAGAATCCACTAAACCATTTTTAAACTGTATTTCATTGAATAAACTACAAGTAACTGGCTCCATAGATTGTACTAAGCCATAAATCAAGGTTTATATATCACAGTGCTTTGGTTCAGAAAACACACTAACTCCGAATTAAACACATTGCATAGAGGTTTCATGTTATGTGTGAATCCAGTATGTGTTACAGGACAAGTATTGATTATCCCAGAATGAGTTCATGAGTAAGCTCTGCTCATTGTCATGAAACATATTATCCATTATGACCTCTAGCTGTACAATATTATATAAGGCTATGATTTGAGCCCCATGATTTGAGCCACCAAAGCATCAAACTGGCTCAGAAGCTGCTGCTATGTACAACTTTACTCAGTCAGTGTATTTGAATAGCGTTCTATTACCCTTCACCAGTTCTGCAGTTGGAATGTTGACTAAGGATAGTGGAAGTTGGGTCCAATCTAGAGAGCATCAGATTGGAGAAAGCAGCACAGCAAGCAAAGCCACCTCATCTTTTCTTACCAATCCTTAAGCGACTTCACTGGCTGCCCCACCATTTCTGCATCTAGTGCAAAAGCCCAAACCAAATGGTTTAATTCATGCTTTGAATGTGTTCCTGGCTAAAGGCAGTAGTCAAGCACATAGAAATACTACCTTATCATACAGTCAGACCTAATTTCACAGACTGTGGTATACCTAACATATATTCATACTATAACATAAATATAAATCTTTAAGATATCACAGAACTCTTAGCTGTTTAGCAATAAAATGGATTGATACATTTACGACTCTGAACTCGGTTTTCTTCACATTTCCAGATGTATTTAAATATGTGAAATCATTTTAATGGAATACAATATGAAGGGTGGGGGGGTAAACATGTTAAATATCTAATGGAGAACAGAGGTGTCATCTATAATGCCAAAGACACCAGCAGTTCCAAAATTAGTATCTTAATGTAAACCATGGAATTTATTAGGGTGTAGTGAAGTTAGACATAATAAAGTATGTATCAACTTTGTGAAGAATTCCCTTTATTCCAAGGCTTGTTTGTTATGGTGGCGAAGCAGCAAAAACAAATGTTGTTTCCTAATGACAACATTGTTTTGAGTTGGAAGGCTCAGCGAGGAAGCTGAAACACTTTGTGCTGCCAGGCAGTGAGCTGAAAAGAAGAGGATGCTGTTGCTTTCTTGGAAAGGATGTACGCAGGCCAGGCGAGGTATTGTTAATTTCCTATCAGATTTTCTACAGTAAGTTTGCTTCCTACTCTTTGACCCCCTTCCCCAAATTACTGTTTAATTTGCTGTTTTAAAAGTTATTACTGGAACACATACAAGAGCAGACTGGAGAGTCAGCTAAGTAGGAGAAATGGATTATCTCAGCCATTCTTCAATGTAGAGTAAGAAAAAGCAGGGGGAAATTAAGGATCGTTTTATCCTATTTACTATTACTATCTAGAAACTTTGGAGAGTCACCGTGTCTGTTCCTGCAAATACTTTGGAGGGATCAGGAAGAAGAGATCATCACCATTTTTTTTCCCTGACATGGAAAGAGCCCCCGCTGAATTCAAGGTCATTTCCGTTTACGGCTGAACAATTACTAAGCACGTTCTGTTGAAATTAAAACAAAAAACAAAAGCCGCCTTCCCACACAAAACAGAGGATTGCGTAACAAGACAAAACACTACACGTCGCCAGGTCAGTGCAAACCTTAACACGCCACAGTCAATGCACACTTTTTAGCTGCAGAAGCTCCCCAGTACAACGATTATCACTAATGCGCTGCCTGAGCGTTACGTTCCAGTTTATCTGGGTGGGTTAGTTACGTCTGATGCTAAAACGCCTGGCTAAAAGTACTTTGGCGATTATGAACTTGGTGGCCTAAGTTAACACAATCTCAGGGATGTCTCATAAAAAAAACCCTGCCGGATCGGTGTCCAAACGGCCAGTGCAAACCTCCGGGCTTTCACTCACCTCCCGCAGTTCGGCTTCCTTGTTCAGCGCTGCGATCCAGGCTTTCTGCCATTCGCTCCTCCAGCTCTTCAGAGACAGCAGCCAGGTGAAAAGGGAGCCCTCCTCGTCCTCTTGCCGAAGTCCGGGAGGCGACGGCCGCAGAGGCGGCTTCCCACCGCCTTGCCGCAGGACGCTCAGGCCATACTGCACCAGGTAGATGGTCAGGACGGCCAAAGCAGCCGTAAACAAGGAGAGCAGCGAGAACCGCTGGAGTTCATCCAGCCAGCAAGCCAGCCACGACATGACTGACCATAATTACCGGGCCGGCTCTCCTCCTCTCAAGAGCAGGGAAGCCCTTCGCATGGCAAGACGCCTTCCCTCCGCAGCAAACTCCGGGCATGCGTCCCTGCGGTCCCCCAGAGAATCCTCTCCTTCGCCGAGTCCAACGCGGTCGGTCGGAGCGAAGGCGCGCGGATGACGAAAGGGATCAGGCAAGGTGTTCGCCTTCCGCCTCGGCCGAGCGGGCGCGCTTGAGAGGTCGGAGGCGCAGCCAGCAGGATGCGCGAGGAGGAGAGGCAACGTCACGGGAGCGGCCCCGCGCCGCTGAGCCTTCAAAGGACTGACACGCCGCACACCCGCCTGCGGGCGCCGGCCGGGAGGAGCAGTCAAGCGGGTCACCAAAGGAAAACATTCCCAACCCAGAAAGGGAAAAGCGGAGGCGGCGCCGTTTTCGCCCTCTTCTTTACCAGGATCCGGGCGGGAATTTCTCCCGCTACCAGCTACGTCCTGCTCTTGGCCCAGCGCTCCTTTTTTCGGTTCTTCAGGCCCGAAGCTTACATGGTGAGCGGTAGGGAAACAAGGGCGACGCAGGGAGCTGCTGAGGGGCAAGGCTGGTCCACTGCACTGCTCCAGGACCTTCGCCCCAGCCCTAGAGCCCTTTGAGTGTTCTGTCCCCAATCCCTGCGCTGGGACAAAGGCTCTTTCCCCACACCTTTGGCTTGGGGCTTTCCCACTGCCCACTAGAGGGGAGGAAAGTGGGCAACGCTGCACCAACAGCTGTCCTTTTGCTGTGTCTTGAAAATAAGGCCAACCAAGTTGTGCCTACTACGAAGGTAGGGTTGGTGGTTTCTGCAGTTGCAAAGAGCAAGGGAAAGTCTCTTCTGCTCCCCACCCCGTTGTCTGGGATCACCACTGCCACTCCCGTGACACTGGGAGGCAGCCACAGTGCTCTTTGGCGATGGTGGTGGTTAAGGGCCAAGATCATGGTGGAAGACAGTCGGTGGCATCTGCAGGATTCTGCTGCTTTTACAAGAATGGCAAAAGCAGTGTCATGCCACAAGCTCTATCCCCTTTGCATGTGGGCAGCATCACAACACAGATAGAAAAGGGGCAGTGTTGAGTTGCAAAGCTGCAACACTGCTTTCACTGGGCTTTCATCTCCCCCACCCCTGCAGATGCACTGGAGGTGGCAGGTAGGAATACTGACCTCAAGGAATATCTTCCACAATGTTAGCTTTCCAGTGGAGCCAAAAAGAGAATAGAAAACTTTGGCTGCCTAGCAAGGCTCTGCTCTCTTCAGCAGCCAAAGGAGAAATGGCTATGGAGACCCATCTGTGGCCAGATGGCAGGGGATGGTCCTTCAGCTACTTCTCCCTGTGAATCCAAATGTTGGCACAGAGGACCTGAACTGATTTCCCATGGAAACTACTACTTTCCTTCTGGATCTCTTTGACCCAGCCTCCACCTGCTTCAGTGGCAGACTGGACCTCAGATGAAGGCTCTGGGGTGAGGACATGTCATCAACTGCAAGCAAGCCATCTTGGAGCTGAGCTTTACTGTACTTCAGCAACATCTCAATTGCAGGACAGTTTCAGGGCAATGGCTGGTAGATTTGCTTCTGTCTTTCCCCACTGATCCAGCATTATGTACCAATGGGGAAAAAAAATCACCAGTGTCTCTTCTGAATTAATGGCAAGGAAGAATGCCAGAAGTTCCCTGCCCTTCATTCCTTTTACGCTCTGTCAGTCCGACTATTTCTTAGGAGTGTTTTTTTTTCTTTTTACTTGTTAGCATTAATATCAATTGATAGTCTTGGGAATATCCATTTTCTCAGGATATGGAGGATCAAGGGATTGATATTCCCCTGGCAAAAATAGTCTGTACTTTTCGAAGCCACTGCCCTGAAGGCCCCCACCAAGCCATACCTAACCCTGTTATTACCCTCTTCTCCACTTGATCTTCCCAACTCTAAACAAAACAGATTCTTCAGATTTCAGCAAAACAAGGAAGCCACCATCATTTTTATTTTCTAAGAAAGCTTATAAGGTCCATTTCTGGTTCAGAAGCATTCTTAGAAGTAAAGATTTTGCTTTGCAGCATACCAGCTCCCCATCTTTCCAATTAAAATATCTTTTTTTCAAAAGATAAAGAGGGGAGGCAGGGAATTTGGAGGCCACTAAAAGTGCTATCTGCAGGCACATTAGCACTCCGGTATGCCTTACTGGGGCCAGACTATAATGTGTAATTCAACAGAAGGAAACACTCAATTTCTTACGATAAATTCAGTGTAGCCTTCAGACCAGAGGATTCATAAATGGAAGGAATGGATCCATGAGTTTTGCAATGAAAATTGTGGTCACAATCTACAAGTAAAATAGGATCCGTGTTCTTACATTTTATGAAAGCCTAGCATGGACAGCTACAATGGATGAAGTTATGTACATTCACAAAATGGCTACCATAATGAGCACTGCCAGTAAAAACACACACAACTCAAAACGGCAATTTGAGTTCAAGAAGGTTCAGATTAGAAATATTTTGTGTACTTATACTTTGTGTACTATACCTGATGCTATAAGCATCAAGAGATGTGCTATAGAGCAATAGGTTGTCTGCATTTGCTGTAAGTTGTAGCTCCAATAGAGGTGAATATGTGTAACTCAGGGTCAAGGCCCAAGGACTCCATAGTATAAGTTGTAGCTGTTGGCAAATTCCAGTACTATTCTGATTGCTTTATCCCACTCAGTAAATCCAACAAGAGAGATTAGGGCTCTAATTTTTGTCTCCTTATGAAAGATTTGATAGCCATTGTTCATGAATAATGCATGTCATATTTCAAAGCAATGTTTTTATATGCATCAATGTAATGTAGTACAAACATACTTTGTAACATAAATGTAACCACGATGGAAACTGGTCCAGTGGCTTTACCAGGACTTGTGATCTTCAGATGTGTGGAAAATATTTGCAGAATTCCTAGCCAACATGGAAATTCTTAGCACATCTGGATTCAGAAGTCTGCATTAAGACAATACATAGCCTGGAACTATAATTTAAGTAAAACATGCCTTAGATCTCTATTTGGAGTGCTTTTAAAAAGCATGTTGCATATTCCCAACCACAGAGGTCAGACTAATAACGGTTAATATTAGGGGCTCTGCATTGGTTATGTAACCACTTTTATTGCTTGCTTGTTTACTTCTCTCTCTATTAAGAACCTTGCATTTGAATCTTTGTGCTTTTCTTCAGTTGGGCTATGGAGAATCACATATTTTGAGAAACTGTATGCACACTATTTAAATTCAAGTTGATGTACAACATCAAGTTTTGGAAAAAAATTGAACATAGTAATTAGCCAGGATTACAAATTGAATTAAATTTAAAATCACTGTCTGCAAGTAACATTTTAACTTGATACAGAATAATGGTCAAAACAATGAACAGTGAATTAGAAAGTCAATGTAGCTGATTTTACAATAATTTTATCAAAAGCTCACTCTGGGGTGATGGATCTAATTTCAATCTAATTAGATGTAATCTAATTTCAAGAATAAATTCTGATTAGAGATTCTGATTGAATTGAGTCCAGTCCTTCAGTTCCCTCCCCTGGCTGTGGCCTTTACTTCCCACATCCTCTCTAGTTCCTCCTTCAGGCCCTGGTACTTCTCCAGCTT